ATCTGAAACAATCCAGAGTCTAAAACACATATAGTCTTTAGCATTTCAGTTAACGGATACTCACCCTGCACATGAAATCAACTTTTGCTGAAATTGTAATGATCTTTTGGTATAATAATGCCCTTAAACATGATTTACTCGATTTACTACCTTTTTGAAGTGCTTGCTATAGATAATGCTCATTAACAAAAGTACAGTAACAATTTCATGACCTTTGTGTAATATATAAAGTACACCCACTAATATTTGCTTACTTTTTCCTTCTAACAGTCTAGCGTGTTAGGGCAAATGCCCATATAGACCCTGAAGCAGAGTCAAAACTCCCAGTTATTTCCTTATTTAATTTGCTCACTACTAGGATCAAACCTCAGCCCTCACACTGGGCAAATGAACTACCACTAAGCTACAGCCCAACTCCTCCCTAACCTTTTTTTTTTAATCATATCTTCAATTAAAAAAAATTATCAAATTGAAGTTTCAAGGAGCTGAAGTCAGCTTTTCTTTTTCTTTTTTTTAATTAAGAGTTATGGAAGCTGTGTTTTTGTACACTTATAGCCATTTGTACTTCCTTTGAGAAGTGTCTGTTCCATTTTATTTGCCTCTTTGTTTTTTTCGTTTTTTATTCTTTGGTACCAGGGATCAAACTCGAGACCTTGCGCTTGCAAGGCACGTGGTGGCACCACTGAGCTAAATCCCCGGCCCTGATTGGGCTATTTTTGATGATAAGTTTTTTGGGTTTTTTTCTTTCTTTCTTTCTTTTTGATACTGGGGATCGAACTCGGGACCTTATGCTTGCGAGGCAAGCAGCAGAACCACTGAGCTAAATCCCCGGCCCAATGATAAGGTTTTTTTGAATTCTTTATTCTAGATATAAATCTGTTGGGTGAGTAGCTGACAAAGATTTTTCTCCCATTTGACAGACTCTCTTTGCTCTGTTGGTTGCTTCCCTTGCTGTGTAGAAACTTTTAAATTTGATGTAGTCCCTTTTCTTAATTCTTGCTATTATTTCCTGTGCCGTTAGAGTCCTAGTCAGGGAGTCTTTGCCTGTGACTATTGGCTTCAGGTGTTTCCTCTGTTTCCTTCTAGCAGTTTCAAAGTTTCAGGTCTCATACCCAGGTCTTTGGTCCACTTTGAATAGATTTTAGTACAGGGTGAGAGAGAGAGATCTAGTTTCAGTCTACATTTAGATATTCAGTTTTCTCAGCACTGTTTGTTAAAGAGGCTGACTTTTCCCCAACATTCGTTTTTGGCTCCTTTGTCAGGAATCAGGTAGCTGTAGTTGTGTGGGTTTGTTTCTTTGTGCTCCATTCTATTCCACTGGTCTACATTGTACTTTGGTGCCCATGCCATGCTGCTTTTGCTACTAGGGCTTTACAGTATAATTTGAAACTGAGTATTGTGATGCCTCTAGAATGCTGTTTGCATAGAATTGCTTTGGCTCTTCTGGGTCTTTTGTGTTTCCATATAAATTTTAGGATTTCTTTTCTAATTCTGTGAAGAATATCATTGGAATTTTGATAGGGATTGCATTAAATCAATAATTGCTTTGAGTAATATGGCCATTTTAACAATACTAATTCTGCCAATTCATGAATATGAGAAGTCTTTCCATCTTCTAGTGTATTCTTCACTTTCTTTCTTCAGTGTTCTATAATTTTCATTGTAGAAGTCTTTCAACTCCTTAGAGTTGGATATCCAGTTTTCCTAGGACTGTTTTTTTACCTAGGTTGATTCCTAAGTATTTTACTTACTTAATTTTTCTGAAGCTATTGTGAGTGGAGCTATTTTCCTGATTTCCTTCTCATCTAGTTCATTAGTTGTGTATAGAAAAGCCACAGATTTTTTAAATGTTGACTTTTGAATCCTGCTACTTTGCTGAATTTATCAGCTTTACAAGACTTTTGGTGGAGCCTTTAGGATTTTCTAAGTACAGGATCATATCATCCACAGAAAAGGATAATATGACTTCTGTTTTTCTTATTTGTGTCCCTTTTTATTTCTTTCTCTTGCCTAATTTCTCCAGTTCAAGTTTCAAGTACTATACTGAATAAGAGTAGTGAGAGTGGATGGACATCTTTGTCTCATTCCTGATTTTAGAGGAACTGCTTTTAGTTCTTCCCCATTCCATATGGTGTAGGTTGTGGATTTGTTGTAGATAGCCTATTATACTGAAGTACGATCTTTTGATAAAAGTCTTTTCTTACCAAGGCTTTTATCCTGGAAGGATGTTGAATTTTGTTAAAAGCTGTGCATCAATTGAGATAAGTATGTGATTTGTACCCTTCATTCTATGTATGTGGTGTGTTGTTTATTGATTTGCATATGTTGAACCATCCTTGTATTCCTGGAATGAAACCAATGATGTGTGATCTTTTAATTTGTTGTTGAATCCGGTTTGTATTTTATTAAGAGTTTTTGCATCTATGTTCACTATGGATATTGGTCTGCAGTTTTCTCTTTTTTTGTTATGTCTTTGTCCAGTTTTTCTATCAAGGAGATATTGGGCTCATAGATTGAGTTTTCTATCACATGGAGTAGTTTGAGGAACATTGGTGTCCTTCCTCAAATGTCTGGTTAGGGCCAGGGATTTAGCTCAGTGGTTTCGCTGCCTGCTGTGCAAGCGCAAGGACCCGAGTTCGATCCCCAGTACCAAAAAAAAAATGTCTGGTAAAATTCAGCAGTGAATCTGTCTGGTCCTGGACTTTTCTTTGTTGGTAGACTTTATAACTACTTCAATCTCATTTCTTGTTACTGATCTGTTGAGGTTTTTTTATATGTTGCTGGGTCAATTTTGGTAGGTCATATGTGTCTAGAAATTTGTTGGTTTCTTCTAGATTCTCCAATGTATTAGAATATAGGGGGCCGAGGATTTAGCTCAGCGGTTCCACTGCCTGCCTCACAAGCGCAAGGTCCCGAGTTCAATCCCTGGCACCAAAAAAAAAAAAAAAGAATATAGGCTTTCAAAATAGTCCCCATCGAGTCTCTGGATTTCAGCACTGTCTGATGTCGCATACACCTTCCCATCTCTAATTGTATTGATTTGGGTCTTCTCTCTCTTTTGGTTTGGCTAAGGGTTTATTAGTTTTGTTTATCTTTCTTTTCTTTTGATCCTTTGTATTGCTCTTTTACTCTCTATTTCATTAATCTTCATTCTCATCTTATTTCCTTCCTTCTGCCAGGTTTGGTTTTCATTTGTTCTTGTTTTCCTAAGACTTTGAGTTGTATTACTAGGTTATTATTTGAGATCTCTCTGATGTTTTGATAGAGGCCCTCACAGCTATAACTTCCCTCAGCTGTATCTCAGAGATTCTGGTGTCTCATGTTTGATTATTTTCTAATTCTCAATACTTTACTCTTCCTCCTCCATGTGTAGAATTCTTTTAAGTATGTTCTGCAATACAGGCTTAGTGGTCATGAAGTTCTTTCACTTATGCTTACCTTGGAAGATGTTTCTTTCTCCTTTAATTTTAAAGGATAGCTTTGGTGGCTGTAGTAATCTAGGTTGGCAGTCATTTTCTTTCAGGGCCTGAAATACATCATTTCATGGTCTCCTGGCCTTGGAGTTTCTGCAGAGAAGTTTGCAGTTATTCTGCTGGATTTACCTCTGTAAGTGACGTGGGATTTCTGTCCTGCAGCTTTCAATATTCTTTCCTTGTTCTGTACTCTCAGCATTTTTAACTAGGATACGACCTAGGGAGGTTCTTTTCTGCCCAGGCCTGTGTGGGGTTCTGAATGCCTCCTGTTCCTGGATGTCATATCTTTTCCAAGATGTGAGAAGACTTGTTATTATTTCATTGAAGAGATTTTCTGTGCCATTAGTTTGAACCTCTGGCACCCTCTTCTACACTAAACATTCATAAATTTAGTCTTTTAACTATGTCCCAGACTTCTTGGGTGTTTTGTTCATGATTTCTCCTCTTTATTAGTGTGAGTGTGATAATTCATCACATATTTTTGTGACTGAAAGCACCCAGGTATACGAATGACTTTTGCACAGGTGTAACAGTTTTAAGTACACACGCTGTATTCATGGGGAAACAGGTCACCAAGCAGACCATCTAGTGACATGTCACTGTCCATGGTAATTGTGGCATTGCTTTCTGACAGTGCCATCTGAGTGCCGTGGCCGCCCCCACAGTCCTGGGTGAGACTGATCAAAGCCCTGATGGGTCCTCACTACACAGTTTTCCAAAAAGCTGAGATCTCAAGAAATTTTATTGTTCACAAATGCAGATGTGCAAAAAGGACTTGTCTGCATTTATTGAAGAAGTTTCAATGTTTGTATACATAATCCTTTCACTCACAAAGTAAGGGTTGTGAAAATGCACTTCCATGGATACAGGTTTGCAAAAAATACGTAAACAATTAGAACACTCTAAAAGGCTTTATATGGTTTATACCTCCAGTATTGCAAACGATGTGAAGATGAAATACACAGTGTAGCTAATTGTAAGAATCATGCTGACAATTTAAAATAATGGGGGAAAATTGGACAAAAGAAAAAAATTTTAGTTTCTTTTTTTTTTTTTTTTTTTTGGTACCAGGGCTCGAACTCGGGACCTTGTGCTTGCAAGGCAGGTGCCAGAACCACTGAGCTAAATCCCTGGCCCAAGAAAAAAATTTTAAATTAGAAATTTGACATACGAGAAACTATCACAAGGATAAATCATGGGCCATCACATGAAGATGGTCCACAAGAGCCAACTGCCCTTCACAGACTGTGCCTGTATTTGAAGTCATTCATTGCAGCGAATATCTGCTTTTTTTCCCTCTTAGGACATTGCTATCTTTGTAGAATTTGTTCACATTTGTTTTCTTTGTGGTGCTTAGGTTTTTTATTTTTAATTTTCTATGATTTCATATAAACCATAAGCATTCCCAATTATATAGGTCTCTTTATTTTTATTGAAGAAGCATTTTTACATGTTTATGAAATAATATAAGAAGGTTAAGTACTGACTAGTGTTCAATTTTTATTTTAGATTTCCATGGTATCAGTAATTCATATGCCTGATAAGACTTATAAACTTCCCTGCAGAATATTGTATCAATATTTACTCCTGGCTCAAGGTCAATTTCATGATCTTAAGGTAAGTTGTACCTTATTTCTGTCTCCTTTGTTTACAGAGTTTCAAAGAATGCCTGTTTATAATGCCATAATTATACTTTTCAGTTATTATAGAAGTTAACTGTTCTTTGCTATTGGATTTGCTAGCAAATAAATTTTAAGTAGCTCTCACGAGCCCCAGATTTAAAGAGTAATTGTTTCTTATAATTATCTTTACACTTTTTTTCCAGCAACTTTTCATGTCTGCAAATAATAATTCCACTCCCTCCAGCGGTCCCTCACCAGAAGAGAAGAACGCAGACCGCAGTTTGCTGGAGAGGGCTGGACTGTGTGAAGGCGAGGCAGAGCCTTCGGAGGACAGCAGCAAGGACTGCGTCGTGTGCCAGAATGGGAGTGTGAACTGGGTGCTCCTGCCCTGCCGGCACGCGTGCCTGTGCGATGGCTGTGTCCCGTATTTCCAGCAGTGCCCGATGTGCAGGCAGTTTGTGCAGGAATCCTTTGCACTTTGCAGTCAGAAAGAACAAGACAAAGACAAACTGAAAACTCTTTGAAGATGCTGTGGCAACTGAAAAGTACACTTTCTAGCTGACATGCAGACAGCTGTGTCCTTAGAATTAATCCTGACACGGAGTCAACAGTATTGACCATCAAAGGAAATTCTACGTTAACCCCATTTATGCAATACAGGGATGAAGGAAGCGAAATGATTCCTTTCCGCTCAGTGTGGTGAACGCTGGACTGCTGCGTTAACACAGAAAAATCCAGAAGAATGTAAATATTCGGCTTTTTGTCAGCTACATGATTTCATATAATCATTCTAGAAAGCAGTCCAGCTGAAATTTGGGGAGCTAAAAGTCTCACGATTGCGGAATATCTTGCTCTTGACATAATCCGGAGTGAAGTTAGGAAGAAACTTATTTCTCTTTAAAGTCATTGTATGTTCCTCAGTTTACGTTCCTCAGTTGGAAAGGGCTTCTTTCTTTAAATCCTTTCCTGAGATACGCTTTTGTAAATATCAATCTCTCTGGTTTCTAATTTCCCTTAACATCATTATTACATAAGCACAAGTCTTAATCTTTAAATATAGGTTGTTAAATCATAAATGCAAGATACAATTCTTAACTGTTCCCAGGGTATCATATATTAAAATGATACTGATCTATAGGCAGCAGATATATAAAACCCAGATAATAAAATTTCTTGGATAGTTAAACTAATCAGCTTGCTTGTCAAATATGATTAGATTAGCAGAAGTATCAGGGAAGATCTGTGAGACTTAATCCCTTCCCTTAGATTTCCTCCTCTATTCACAAAAGGAGGGGTTTTGGAAAAATTACTAAAAAAAATAGCCATTTTTTTCTAGAGTATTTTTATTCCAAATAAACCTGGTATCCCTCTGAATTATAAATGACTTTTTTATACCTTGTTATATCTGTCTAAGCATTGAGGAACTTGATAGGCAAAGTACCCCTTTCCAAGGTGACTAAGAATGAGGTGGTGAACCTATGGCACGCATGCCGCAGCTGGCTATTTGTTATTGAAAGCTCTGAAAGGCTCGCCATCACTGACTTACAATAAAAAGAGAAAATTGAGCTTCCTTCTGTGAAAATAACGTTCAGCTCACCAAGAATGTACACCAGGGCAAATAAATTGTGACGTTCAGGGAGACTTTTCAAGCCTTTTTTGTCCTGTTTGTATTAAAAATAGTGGCTTACCTTTCTTCAGTGTTTTTGATGTCATTTCATTCCAGTCAGATACTGCAGTTTCAGGAAGACAGCTGCGGGCTGGGGATGTGGCTCGGTGGTAGAGCCCTTGCATAGCACGTAGGAGGCCTTGGGTTCAATTCTCAGTACTGCAAAAAAACAAAAAAAAAATCTGTTCTTCATTTGTATAAACCAAATCAAACTGACCTACACTCAATAACTATGTTATAAATAACTTGTAGGATCTGGCTACAAAGGATCAGGCAAGACCCCTGACCTCAAAATATTTGTGCCTAGGGCCGGGGATTTAGCTCAGTGGCACCAGGCCTGCCTCACAAGCACAAGGTCCTAAGTTTGATCCCCAGTATATATATATTTGTGCCTAAAGGGAGCATGGGTGGCTAGTTGAAACACCTCTGGCATGCTGGAAGTCACTACTGTGGGTGCTTGTGGCCAGCAGTGTAACAGAGGCCTGAGCAGTCACCCTGTCCTGTAAGTCAGGCTTATTCCTTCCCTCCATCCTGCCTGTCCTGCCAGCCTTTACACATCTGTTTGCTCCTCATCCTCCTAGAAGTGTACATAGTTGCTTTCTCTTGGGAATTAGATTTTCACAACCCTGTAATCCTCTACTTTTCATATCGTTTTTATAACCTCTGTGGTAAAATATACAAAACAAAAATTTTACTCTTTCATCCCAAACTGAAGCTCTGTGCCATTAAAACTAACCCCCGTTCTGTCCCCACTCTCCAGTCTCCGGTGACCATCATCCTACTTCCTGTCTATGAACTTGACCATTCCAGGTTCCCATATAAATGGAATCAGACTATTTGATCTTTAAGTCTGGGGTCCTTCCCTTAGTATGCTTTCTTTTTTTTTTTTTTTTTTTTTTGGGGATCGAACTCGGTTCCTTGCGCTTGCGCAGCAGCCAGCGAAACCACTGAGCTAAATCCCCGGCCCTCTTAGTACGATTTCTAGGTTCATCCATACTGTGGCTTGTATCAGAATTTCTTCCCTTTAAAGGGTAGTACTCATTTTGATTCCATTTGTCCATTACTTTTCATTCCTCTTAAACAGTATCTCCTCTGTGCTTGCTGCAGCTAAAGCAATTGGTTTTTCTGCCCCCAGTGGTAGTAATGATGAAGAATTTGGGAGACAATCACAGAAAAGCAAGTACAAATGGCTCCGACTTAACAGTGCTTCTTTCTACTTAGCATATTTCAACTTTGTGATGTTGTAAGAGTGATACACATTCAGTAGAAACCATACTTCCAATTCTGACTTTTAGATTTTCCTGGGCTTGTGATATGCAGCCTGATAGCCTCTCCCAATCAGCACACCGTCATGAGGGTAAGCAATGGGCAACTATAGTGTGCCATATTGCCGAGTTAAGATGGGTTAGGGTTGGTGTATTAAATGCATTTTCTACTTAGGACATTCTCACCTTACCTTTGCTATTGGAACACCACCCCATCTGTCGTAAGAAGCATCCCTACACTGACTCCTAGAAGCTGATGTCAGAATTTTCCAGTGGCTGTGACCAGTGACATGCTAGGGGAACATATGTAAAATCATTTGATTTGGGTGCATTATTAGAAAGCTAAAATATTTGATTTATATCCATTAGTTGTTACTTTGCAAAAGTCCCAGCCAGGGCTACATTCACACAGACTTGCCAGTGATTAGCTGCCTCCTCTCCCAGGGATCCCTTCTTGCTTCCCACTTGGCAGCTACTGAGAGTTCTTGTTATCTAATCAGGCTTCAGGGAAGGAACCGAAAACCTACTTGAGGACCTGATGCAAAGCACTGGGTTTTCTCCCTTGGGATTATCTGACTTCCTAAGCTTTACCGTCAGGGGAGGAGGAACTTCGCCTTGGCTTGTGCGAATTTGAAGCATTGATTGTAGACAGTAGGGGTTTGCCAAGGTGGGAGGAAATGAGGTCAGCCACAGTGACTGTCCTGCCTCAGATGGCCCTTGTCCCTCTGGACGGTTCCCTTGCCCCATTTCCCAAGACTCAAACACTGAGCCTTTCACCAACCATGTCGCTTTCATGGCTCCCTTTTTTTTTTTTTTTTTTGGTACCGGGGATCGAACTCGGGTCCTTGCTCTTGTGAGACAGGCGGCATAACCACTGAGCTAAACCCCCGGCCCTCATGCCTCCCTCATTACATTCCTCCAAAGTCTTCCTCGACACCTTGACCTCTATTTCCTGGATCCCTGCTTTCTTGTTCAACCATTTCAAGCTTGTTTCCATCCTTGCTTGCTTACTTTGCCCACTCTGCCTGTCCACCAACCTGCAAACTTGGCTTAGCTATGTGACTGTTACTACAGGGACCTGTCCAGTGGATGGTCAGGAGAAAAGGGAAGCTGCCACGGGTGGGGAGAGAATATGCAGGGGAGAGGTGACCTCACATTCAGATCCGGGTCAGGGGTCAGAGAAATCCTTGAGAATTTTAGTAAGGCTTGAAGGAGGTTAGAAAGTGAGTCATGACTGTCTAAGTGAAGAGGGTTTTTTCTTTTGCTTTCTCAGGGACATCACCCCAACAGTTATTCCTCATCATTTCTCTCCTCTCTGCTGGATCATTCTTATGAGCATCAAACGTACTGCAAAAGTATACTGTGCACCTCCTTCGTCCTATATCTTCAACCTGACCTATGTCATTCAGCTTCAAGCTATGCTAGGTATCACTGAGACTGAAGCCCCCCACCCCAGCCTGGCCTGGCTTCTTATTCAGTCCGTGCTCTTATTTAATTTCCATTCTTCTATTTTCCTTGGCTCCAGACACCCTGAGAAAGTAGTCTACCCCAGTGATTCCCCAGTGCTGGCGCAAATTAATCCTGGACATACCAACTCAGAAGTTCCCTGGGAAACCTGAATACATGGGGAAGTCTGGGATCCTCCAAGCCCACACTGCAGTCATTTTTGTTTTCCTGTCTCGTCCACCGTTAGCTCCACCTCTTCTTTTATATTCCTGTTGTTCTACTTGAACTGTTTTCCCACAGGTGCCCAGTCAGCTCTGTGTTCCCCACCCAGCAGGTCTTTTCTCTTGCATCATTTCCCGCCCAAGTGTTCCACACATAACTCCTTTTCTCCACTAGAAACTCACTTCTCTTGGCTTCTTTATTTTTGTTTTTGTTTTGTTTTGTTTGGGTACAGAGGATCTAACTCTGGACCTTGCACTTTCGAGGCAGACGACTACGATGGAATCACTGAGCTAAATCCCCAGCCCTGTTTTTTGTTTATTGAGACAAGGTCTGGCTATGTAGTTCAGACTGACTTGTGATAACTACATAATTGTAGCCCGGGCTGGCCTTGAACTCTCAGCCATCCTCCTGCCTCAGCCTTCAAAGTGCTGGGATCACAGGCCTGCGCCACCACACCTGGCTATTGGCTTCTGACTCACCACAATCCACTGCATTTAAGTGGTGCTTGAGAATTGCAAAGCTGGGCGTGGTGGCACATGCCACCACTCAGGAAGCTGAGGCAAGAGGATCGTTGTGAGTTTGAGGCCATCCTGGGCTCCAAAGGGAGACCCTGTGTCAAAAGAAAGAAAGAAAAAGAATTGTGTCTGAGAGTCAAGGAAAACTGAGATCGCCAGGTCCAGCCTTCTTAAACTTGTGTTTCACTAAGTGAAATCCCACCAGGGTTCTTTATATAGAGACTCTTGGGTGACTCTGACTCGGTGGTCAGATGTCACGGCCCAAGGTGACTGCTTTCCCTCTCAAACGCCCTCCGCATCACTTCAGACCGGTGTCTCCCGTTGAGCTCCATCCCCATGCAGCGGACGCCCAAGAGTCCGGGGTGGACCCGCTGTTCTCGGAGAGCCTGATGCTCCCCACTCTCGCCTCCGGCTTCCAACTCACTTCTAGGCCAGTTCTCCTCCCATCATTGTAATATGATGTCTTTAACTCTTTTGGGAAGATATCTAGGAGGGGAACAGCTGAGTCGAATGGAATTTATAATTTTAGTTTTTTGAGGAATCTTCTAAATGTCTTTCAACTCTCCCTTCAGCCCTGCCACCCAGAACATGCCAGGGTTCTCATTCCGAAGCTAGAGGACTCTGAAGCATGCTGGTAGCAGCTCTGCAGCCCCTTAGTCCCTCCCAAGTAGCCATTCATCCTCCACACTCAGGCCTTTACAAAACAAATGAGGTCACTTGGATTAAAACCTTTTACTGGGCCGAGGATGTAGCTCAGTGGCACTGCATCTGCCTTGCAAGCATAAGGTCCTGAGTTCGATCCCCAGTACCGGAAACACACACACACACACACACACACACACCTTCACTGGCTCCCTTTTACCCTCAAGGAAGCTTCCTTGCACCCATCCCCTCCTGACTCCCCAAAGCCTCGTGTCCGTGTCCCAGCACAAGCCATGCCCCACTGGCTGCACATGCTCCCGGCAGTGCTGACCCACAGGGCTCTGTGCACCCAGGGCTGGTTCTCCTGTCCTGAGGCCTTGCCGGGCCCTCCTGGCCGAAGTGGGTCCCACTGCTGTCTGCGTCTGGGCGCTCAGCACGCGGTGTGTTATTTGCTTGCTTACCTCTCTGACTCTCCATGGAGAAAAACTGCTCAGGACAGGAACTGGCTTGTTTAACTATGTATTCCCGGTGCTTTGCCCAGATCTCGCTGTTTAACAAATATTTGCTAAAGAAGTGAGTCTTTCTGAGCAATCACTGCAATGATTTCAAACAGAGCAACATAACCATATTCGCACTTTAGAAATAACAGTATTGCAGGTGGCTCAGTGTAGCAGTCTGCACTGGGAGGTGGGGAAAGTATTGGAACTCATGTTTGTTTGTTTATTTTGAAATAGAGTCTCGCTATGTAATCCAGGCTGGCTTTCAACTCACTATGTAGCTCAGCCTGGCCTCAAACTCAGTGATCCTCCTGCCTCAGCCTCCTGAGTGCTGAGATTACAAGTGTGCACCACCTGGCTTTATGTTTATTTTTATCTAAACAAGAGATTAAATTTTAGTAATATTGGATTAGTTGTAGACTATGTCATTCATTCGTAAATAAATATGCAAGTTTGGAGGGTGGCTTGGCCTTTGAATTGGGGGAATAGTAGAGTCAGGAAAATAAGGAACAAAATGCTATTGCAGGGGCTGGGGACTTAGCTCAGTGGTGCCACTGCCTGCCTCAAAAGCGAAAGGTCCCAAGTTCGATCCCTGGTACCACAAACAAACATAAGCATAAGTAGTTGAGAATAAAACACTTAAAAAATAAAAATAAAAATAAATGCTATTGCAGTAGCAGGTGAGGAAACGTTGAGTCCAAGGCCTTTATGTTTGATGTGATGGTGAGAGCCTCGGGTAATTCATGCTCAGGAGGTGACAGCAGTGAATCTGGAGTGCATATCCATTACTATGGTTTGAATATGGTCTGAGTGTCCCCAGGAGTCCAGGTGCTGAGATTTCAGCCCTTGGGAGGTATTAAGAGGGTAGAAACTTAACCCAACTATGGTGTTTGGGGTGAGGCCTCGGGAGGGAGGTGATCAGCATTAGATAAGCTCATCAGGGTGAAGTCCCTGTGAATGAATCTGGCGACTTTATAAGGAGAGCCTATAATTTTGCAGTGTCCTAAGGGTTCAGAGAGAGGCAGCCTGGGTCCAGTATTTAGGGTGGAAGGGACAGGAAGTCCCATGGGCCAGAGTGAGAAAGAGCTTGGGGCTCGCAAGGAACAGAGGCCGCTGCCCCGAATTGAATGAGGGAGGAGCGGAGTGGACCAAGTGCGAGAGAGGGCAGCGGGAGCATGGGCCGGAGAGCTTTTCTGAACGCTGTTTAAAGCCTGAGAGAGGAAAGTATTTGGTGATGGGGTGGATCTAAGTGTTAGATGGGATGTTGCCTGCCTTGGGCGGGTGCGGGGGCCGGGGCGGGGGGCGGGGCGGGCGGGAGCTCAGTGGTAAAGCTTCTGCCTAGCTTGCCTAAGGCCCTGGATCAGATCCCCAGATAGCCAAAGAAAAAATAGATACTGAACATGTTTGTTTTATTTATCTCATTGAACCTCCAGGCATCCAATCTCTGCTATCTTTATCATAGGCTTTACAGAAATTCTGCAAAAAGTACGCACCAGGCGCAGGACTAAGTCAATTCGTTTAGGAGGAGGAATAGCTGTATATACGTTTCCTGTGCTCTAAATGCTTCATATTTGCTTCAGAAAACAGGCTGTTGCCTCTCAGCTCTAAACCTACCCTGCCGTCCTCCACTCTGTGATGTCAGATGCTGAGCCTAGGGCTCCGAAATCACATCTGTGCTTTGCTGACTGCCTCCAATTGAGGCTTCTAAAATCCGTGGAGTAGAGAGAGATGGGAAGATAGGCAGAAGACAGGATTTTCCCCTTCCTCTTTGTTTCGGGTGGGCTTCCTATTTGCTTTCTGCTCCTGGGCGCACCACGCCAGCCTTGCCTTTTGGCCTGGGTAGTCATAGTCAGTTTCAGAAGCAGCAGTGGAATCCAGCTTGCAGTTCTTCCAACATTTGCCAAACCTGCTTCCTCACCCCTCCACCCCCAGGACCCCAGCCCAGTCCGACGCATGGTGCCTCCCATCAGGGCTCTGAGTGTCCCACCCCACAGGCCCTGCCTGCAATCTTCTAAATTTTTATTAGTCCAACTTCACTTTGTCTCCTCAGCCCTCTGATGGTAGCTGCTTCCCGCATTTGCTATCTCTGTGATAACCTCTGTGTTTTCCCTTTGGCTTTTCAGTTAACAATACTTTATATTAATAATCTCGAGTGAAATAATTGGTATGCTTTCTGTCTCCTGGCTGGACTTCAATCAATACAATTAGATATTATCTCATATAATCCTGGCACAACTTACTAAGACAGAAAATGGAGACAACACGTGGCTAGATAATCAACCCGTGATACACAGCTCCTGAATGATGGACTGGGGATTTGAACCTACTTTTGTTTGTTCTTGCCGGAACCTTGGGCTGGGTCACCTTTCTGTACTGCCTGCAAAACACATAGTTTTTCAACATGGAATTGTGAAATACAATTTCCCAATTCTTTCATCATCTTTCTTGCTTTTCTCTAACCTATTGTCAGACCTAGAATTTACTAAAATGTATCCGAGGCAACACTAGCACTATGGGAACATCTGGGGAACACAGGTTCCGTACTCACTAGGTCTAGGAACTGCCACATTCTAGACTCTTCAGAAGAGTCACGATGAACATTAGCACAGCCAAGACTCTCTGAAAGCTCTCCACACAATTTAAGTATGGAACGAGGCAGCTTCTCATAAAGTTCTGCCTGGGAACATCTCAAGGATGTGGAAAAGATGCGGTTGCTATAGTTTAGATTTTAACTGCCCCCAAAGCCCTACTGCAGTAAAGGTGCTGCCCAAAGCTTGGTGCTACTGGGAAGTTACAGAAGTGTTAAGGGGTGGGACCTCACAGGAGGTCTGCAGGTCTTGGGGTGCAGCCCTCCCTTCGCTTCCTTTTCATGATTTCTGGCCAAGAGGCAGGGGCTTCTGCCTGATGTACTTCTTTGCCCCTGGCCCAAAGAAATGGGGCCAATTGATCATGGACTGAAATCTCCAAAACTGAGAGCCAAAACAAACCTTTTCTTGCTACAAGATTATCTCAGGTGTTTGTTACAATGACAGAAACCTGACTAACCCGGGGTTAATCATTACTGACTGTAATGTATCCCCTGCTATAGTAGTGCCTGGTTAGGCGAAAATTGTTGGTACTGGCAATTATGGGATGTTCGCAACATACAAAGATTGCTTTTTAAAAATACTGGAGAAGGGAATTCTGGTGTTTGTTCACATTACAAAACTACACTTGTATTTCAACTACTCAAGCCTGTGGATACATTTCAATTGCACTTTCAATTGAAAAAGAGGCAATTCTTGAATCAATAACTAGGCCAGAATAAGGATTTAATGACTTCCAGCTTGGGCAATTTGGACTTTCTTTTATACCATTTGGGAGCAAGTTATCGCTCCACAAGTTCCATGAGTTCAAAAGACTTACTTTTATAATCCTGACCTAGATAATTCCTGTAAATAGGAGTGGTTTTGCAATGCTTACAAGTAACCTTCTGTTGGAATTTATTTGAAAGTTAATCTGTGACACATTGTGAGATGTTCTACTATAAAAAAACTATAATTAATGCTTCACACATTTGTTTATTTTTAAGACATGTGAACCCATCTGCATTTGTGTTTGAAATTGTGATTCATTCGCTTATATTTTTATTTTATTTGAATAACTGCACCAGTTAATTGGTTTGGATTCATTATTTTGAAATTGGTCAAAAACACGGTATACCTAAGCATTTGAAAAATTAAGAGTTTGTCCTTCTTATCTAACTCTGCTCTGGAGAAAACTGTTTCTAAAGTTTTCTTTCTGGGGGCGGGGATTTAACTCAGTGGTTTCGCCACCTGCTGCACAAGCACAAGGACCTGAGTTCCATCTCTGGTACCAAAAAAAACCAGTTTTCTTTCTGGAATATTTTTCAGCC